TGGTTGATTAGATAATTGCATTAATGAGAAATTAAACAGATGTTCCTAATTATCCTTTAATGTGAGTGTATACATATATATATATATATATATATATATATTTCTGGCTGTTTCTGATTTATGGACTATGGAGTGATAAAAAGAGATCTCCAAAATCTCCTCTGTAAAAACAGATTGCTGTCAACAGAATGAAACAAGAATTTTGAACCTGGCTATATCCAATGTTCAAATTTCTGTTCTGGAAATGTATGAAAATGAGTGCATATTGAATTAGATAATGCCTCATTTGCATATATGAGCATACATTTTCAGAGAAGTTTTAAATCAAAAACATTTTTATAGTTACATATTAAAACCATGCAGAAAGTAAACTCTAAATGTTATTGTTAATATTATAATAAGGAATGTTTCTTGAGCAGCAAATCAGCATATTAGCATGATTTCTGAAGGATCATGTGACACTGAAGACTGGAGTAATGATGCTGAAAATTCAGCTTTGATCACAGGAATAAATTAAAGCAATAATTTATTTATTGCTTAAAATGACCTGTTCTAAATTCGCTGTAAACCACGGCTTCACTGGGCTTATTGCTTTTGTATAACGGTTAGTTCATGAACATATTTATTTGAATATTTATTTAAACACACAGATGCAGTGGATCAGTAATACTGACGGCATGAGGTCACAGGTGTATGTTTGTAGAGTCATTTACAACGGCTTTGAACGCGGCTCAACCAATCAGAATCAAGGACCGGAACTATCCTTTTTAAAATCCATTGTAAATTTGTAATAATATTTCACAATATCATTGGTGGTGAGCATAAGAGACTTCTTTCAAAAACATAAAAAATCTTACCAACCCCAAACCTTTGAACGGTAGTGTATATGTGATAAATGGGCTCAGATTATCACTATGTGCATGTTTACAGTAAGACAGATTTCATCCCGTCCTCATGGATGTGTGTGTGATGGAAAACTTCCTGTGTGTTTTGTTATCGCTCCTCTCTGATTCGATTAGCTTGCTGTGCTGCTCCAGTCTGATTGGATTATTTGCTCTGTAATGAATCTGATTGGCTGAGAGCCGTAACGATCGGTCTTATATCTGGGTAGACGGGACATGTGAAGATGTGTCTGTTTTCTGTCGTTCCCGTGTGTTTGTGTGCTCCTCCGCTGCTATACCCTGCTCTCACCATGAGTTATCTTTTCCTTCGTCCTCTAACACTTTTTTTCTGCTGATGACCAATTGGTCTACAGATGTCTCTCATTCCGTACTGTATATGAAGGATTATCAATTTCATTAACAATAAAGTACCAAAAGTGCTGATGTACTACCATCAGCACAGCAAAAGTTCATTTATTTCAGTAATTCAACTTAAAATGTGAAACTAATATATTATATAGACTCATTACATGCAAAGTGAGATATTTCAAGCCTTTACTTGTTATAATTGTGATGATTATGGGTTACAGCTTATGAAAACCTTTTCACAATATTCTAATTTTGAATTTGGAGTTTTCATAAGCTGTAAGCCATAATCATCACAATTATAACAAATAAAGGCTTGAAATATCTCACTTTGCATGTAATGAGTCTATATAATATATTAGTTTCACCTTTTAAGTTGAATTACTGAAATAAATGAACTTTTGCACGATATTCTAATTTTTTGAGTTTCACCTGTATACAGTAAGTACATGGATGGCATTACCATCTGATATCAGCAGAGTACTGTAACAGGGCATGTTTGTTTGGTGTTTTAAATTGAATATTAAAGTAAATGTCAAAGTGAAATATAAATAGACATCTAAATATATATATGTATATCTGAGTAAAACTGCTTCTTAAAAGAGCAGTGTACCTTGAAATGCAATGTAAGTCGCTTTGGATAAAAGCGTCTTCCAAATGCATAAATGTAAATGAGAAAAAATGTAGGGCGGGACTTGATATTGTCATGGGGAATTGATTGGATGGTTGTGGTTTGCTATTGGTGGATCTCATGTGAGTGACAGGTTGCCCCGCCCTCACGCCAGTAAACACATGATCATCAGAGAAGAGAAGAGATGACGCAGCTATAGGGAAGTCATTTTGATTAAAGATTAAGAATTTAAATTAATTTAAAAAAAAGTTTATATGTATGGATAAATAATCATAAATAATATTACATAAATAGTAAGAATTGTAAATTTTGATTTCATGAGGACTTTACATGATTAAATGATTGATTTTAATTAATGTTTATCAATGCAGTTAAATACACCAATAAAATAACTCATTTATGTTAATTAATTCATTAATAATGTAAATATAATGTATTATTATTAAATATGTTTAGCATTTGCCAGTAGCTTTATTAACTGGTTCACCTATATTGAGTTTTTTCTACTTCTTGACCTCCATAACTACTGTATAATGTTTTAAGTAATGCAGTAACCCAAACATATTTTGATACCAAGAAAAGTCTGAATGTCACTGCATAATATAACAAAATATCCAATATAGAGTCGTTTCTCTTCACTTTTCTTAATAATTTTTCTGAAGTCTCAATGCGTTTGAATGCACATTTATTGGATGTATGAAGTTGTCAAGTTCACACAGGTGTAGAGAATCACATTAACCACAAACAAACACAAAGTCATCTGACTTAATTATTCAACCCTAAATCTGTTGTTTTATTATTTAAACCTGTACGGACGTCTTTTCTGAAATTTGTGTGTGTGTGTTTTGGTGAAGCTGCGTGTACGTGTATCATGGCTGTGGAATATTTCATCAGTATCCGGATTCAGGACTGAATGGTGGTCCTTTCGGTTTCTATGGCTGCCGTTGCCATAACACTCTGTCTCCGGGGGCTTGTAATTCGGCCGGAGAGATTGACAGAGCGCAGTTGTGTGGCAGAGAATCCGGGTGGTACAGTACGTGTGGGTATGAGTGTGTGTGTGTGTTTGTGTTGGCCACACAAGAGCCAAACTTCTGTCTCCCTGTCCATCAACATTCACTTCGTGCCTCACTAAATTTAAGCTGCTGGACGACACAGCCAGACCTGCTGAGGATTTAATGAGCGAATGTCTGTCTGTACAGTAGAAATGAGCTGGATCTGCTGTGTGTGTGTGTGTGTGTGTGAGCTGCGTGTGGCTTTGGCTGTTTACAGTGGAGTACTAGCATATTGCTTAGTGCATACTACATATATAAATATATAAGAAATCAAATATAGAGTCTTGTCTCAGTATGCTGCAGGATCTTTTCTCTTCACTTTTCTTAATCATTTTTCTAAAGTCTCAATTCATTTTAAAGCACATTTGTTTGGTGTACATGAAGTTGTCAAGTTCACTCAGGTGTAGAGATCGCATTAACCACAAACAAACACAAAGTCATCTATTCAACCCTAAATGCTGTTTTATTATTTAAAACTGTACAAACGTCTTTTTTTTACATTTGGGCTTTTTCTTTTGACACACACACACACACACACACACACACGCACGCACGCACGCACGCACGCACGCACGCACGCACGCACGCACACACACACACACACACACACACACACACACACACACACACACACACACACACACACACACACACACACACACACACACATCATATTTTTTATATAAAAATATACATAATGTACATTCACAGTCTGATCAAATATTGAGTCAAGAATGAGAAAAATAATTGTGGATGATGTTATTACTTTTTTGCTCTGGTTTATTTCCACACTGAAAATGGTGGGATGCATTGACGAATGCTTTGCATTGTGGGATACATTATTGCCCCGGCGAGTGTGCTCTGGTTCCACTATGCTGCACATGTTGGCAAATGCAGGATTCTGAGTTTCACAAAAACAGGTCCAGATCTCATTTCTCAGAAACAAAAACATTAATCTGCATATTAAATACAGCCAATGTTAGGATTAAGATCCTAAAACATTTGAATTTCTTCACAATACATTAAGACCTTTTACTTTTTTTGTATTTCTTATTATTCTCAACAAACCCTAAATAGATTCGTATTACTTTGGTACAGTATTTTTTAGGAGAAAAAATACTGAAATTAAGTAGTTTTTATCTACACACAGTACACTACCGTTCAAAAGTTTTTTTAAATAGTTTTTTCTGCAAGCGTGCATTAAATTGATCAAAAGTCACAGTAAAGACATTTATAATGTTACAAAAGATTTCTATTTCAAATAAATGCTGTTCTTTTGAAATTTCTATTCATCAAAGAATACCGTAAAAAAAACTACCTGTTTTTTTTTCTACAAAACTATAAAGCAGCACAACATTCTTAACACTGATAATCAGAAATGTTTCTTGAGCAGCAAATCATCATATTAGAATGATTTCTGAAGGATCATGTGACACTGAAGACTGCAGTAATGATGCTGTATAAATTACATTTTAAAATATATATTACAATACTCGACTCGACGCCTGTGAAGAGATGACTCAACGACGGCGATATGTTTTTTCTATGTACATTTCTGAAATGCACTTTCTGTAAAGGTGCTTTGAAACAATGAAAAGCGCTTTACAAATACATTTGAATTGAATTGAACAATAATCATTTTTTATTTTAAATTAGAATAATATTTCACAATAATACTGTTTTTTACTGTGTTTTTGATTAAATAAAAGCAGCAGAATTTCAGACTTCTCTTGAATACCCTCAAACTATAACATATACTAATACATAATTTAAAATAAATCAAAATTACACTAATAATTTTTTGTTTGATTTTGATGCAAAATCTGGCACAATTCTACTGGTTTTATAAAGTACTGTACATAATCGGTTAGTAGGTAGTTTGGAATTTGACTTTCTCTATCACTCTTCTTGTCTTGCTCTTATAAATATCTCTCTCTCTCTCTCTCTCTCTCTCTCTCTCTCTCTCTCTCTCTCTCTCTCTCTCTCTCTCTCTCTCTCTCTCTCTCTCTCTCTCTCTCTCTCTCTCTCTCTCTCTCTCTCTCTCTCTCTCTCTCTCTCTCTCTCTCTCAGCGAGGAGCTGGATGATCCTCAGCCCAACACTCATGTCACCTGTCCTGTTAAGACCATGACCAAAGCCCCAGGAACGCCTGTCAGAAACACAGCAGGTAATCAGCTCATGACTCTCTCTGTCCAGATACTGACCACAGTGTCTTCCAATAAGCACTGTGTATATAATGCTGCACGTGTATATAAACTAAATATGCGACAGTATGTCTAAATATGTCTTGGTCACTGCAGCTTCCCGAACACACACACAAAATATTAAATACCTTCAGCCGGAGCAAAGGCTGGATATAATTTATTAGTTTATTGTCATATACATACAGCGCTTCCCAGCCGTTACATATCACATACCCAGCACTTGATTCGTCCTGGTGAAATATTTCACTAAAACGCACCTTTTTTTCCTTCCTTCCTTTCGTTGTGTTTTTAATTGTCCTTTTTGAATTTTCTCTCGTATCTGTTTTGCCTCCATTGCTGGACCTCTCAACTGCGTATCTTAATGAAACTCTGCAAAATAGTGTCTGACAACAAAATTAAGTTTTAAACACGGTCACATTTTAGAGAATGCAGTTAATATTTCTATCATTTATGATTAATCTCATCAACCCACAATTTCAGAAAATTAATTTTTTATTACTTGACCCCCCGACCCATGGATTACCCACGGTGTCCGCAGATATAACCGTGACCCGCATGTCACTAATATACTCTACTTTACCAAGTAAATTTAACACACTGCGATAGTCTTTTCTTCCCTATTGTGGCATATATATATATATATATATATCAAAGTAAAATGGCTTTTTTGTTTGATATTGTCATACAAAAAAGATATTGTCATGGGGAATTGATTGGATGGTTGTGGTTTGCTATTGGTGGATCTCATGTGATTGACAGGTTGCCTGCCCTCACATCAGTAAACACATGATCATCAGAGAAGAGATGAGATACCGCTGCTATAGGGAGGGGAAGTTATTTTGATTAAGTATTATCAGGGTAAAAGAAAATAAAAAAATGATTATGTGCACGAATAAATCATTGATGATAAATACTGCAATGTTCCATAAAAAATAAGAGTTGTCAGTTTTGATTTCATGATGACTTTAACTGCCATTATTCCACTTGAAGACAAATTGACGTATCGTTTCTGTTTTAAGGTTAGGATTAAGTAATAATACTTAATTGTAATACTTCAGATATATTTAAGCTGCAGGCCTTAGGTAGCCGACGCACCTTAAGACAAGCTAAAGCTCTAACAAGTGTTTGTGTGTTTGGGTTTGTGTCTTTTGGCAGGTCTCATTACTCCCACGTTTGGTGTCGTGAGCAACAGTACACCTTTAGGCCCCGCCTTAGACCGCCCCATGCCCCGCCCACACCCAAAAGACGAAGCCTCATTGGTCCAGATGGCAGAACACATCCCTGCCGGCACACGCACTCCTATGTGTGCTCACTGCGACATGGTTATCAGGTATGCAAACAAGTATTCAATGAAATAGTCCATTTTTTGCTTTGCTTTGTAAGATGCGGAGTCAGAATATGTCCAAAATTAGGTCTCATATCAGGCTACACGATGCTGTTTACCATTTGAAACAGCCTTTGTGTTGGGATTATGCCTCTGATTCCCTACAGTGCTGTCTAGGTAGGAAACTCACAAGCTTTTGGAATGAATATACAATATAAAAAAACTGTATAATGCAAAATGAATGTGATATCTCAAAACACGTTTAACAACAACTGGCACTATTGCTTCATTGTTGTTTAATTGGAACACATACTGACATTGACATTTCGTTTTCTCTGCACCTTTAGCACAGTATTACAGGATGTCGAATCACAATATCATTAATATAGTTTCGCCATGAAAATGTCACATAACACATGTTCATACTGATTAGCTTTCCTCCATGTGATCTTTCATTTACACTTCTTACCCTCAAATCTGCAGCTCTTCTGATTCTGTTCTAATAGTGAATGAGCTGCATATGTAGGCAGCATTATAAGGCATCATGGAAGCATATCTATCCCTTTTTATTAATATAATATAACATTTATTATTAATATAATTATCATTAATAAATTAATCAAATGAGTTTAGTAAAATAAAAAGGATTTATTAAAACAATTCATTTAAACTTAAATGGAATATTTCTTCTAATATTTGTATATTAATTATTATTAGTAATATATTATAATATGAACATAAACAGACATTTTCTTCCAATATCTGTCTAATTATTCTCAATAGAATATATTAATATAATTAATTCTTTAATTATAATTTATAATTCCTTAAGAATTTATAAAAAAAATTTTTTTAGACATTGACTAATTCTTACAATATCTATAATTATTATTAATAAAATATATTAATATAATTAATTAATTAACTAACTAACTAACTACCTAACAAACTATATAAAAAAATCATATAAACCTAAATGGACTATTTCTTCCACTATTTTGTGGGCTAAATATGTGTGTGCTTATTAAAGTATTGTGTTATTAGCTCAGCAACAAGCTACTGTAAGAAACTCTAAAATCAATGAAGCAACACTCGGGTTTCAGAAATTTAAATCCCATTCATTTCCTTCATAGATAAATTGTTTTTGTGACTGACTGACTCTCTAATCTCTAATGACTCTAGGTTTTGAACTGGAGCTTCTGTTTCTCCATCTTTCCTCTGGCTGTCTCTCTCTTCCACTTTGAAAATGAGATGATTAGCTTAAGAGCGATATTTAATAACAATAGTCACTCTAAACTCACCTCTTACTTTCACAGACCACCTTATCTAACAAGAAACACACACCTGTGTAACACACACCAGATACCACACACTCACGGCGGCAAAAAAAGTGTAGACTTAGTTACCTGTGTGTGTGTGTGTGTGTGTGTGTGGTTATTAGTAATTAGGATCAGTCTCTTCTCACAGAGCCTTCATTTAGCAAATTAAACCCTGAATATTTATTCCACATGAGAGTAAGCATTACACCAGACTGTCACACACACACACACACACACACACATACACACACACACACACACACATTCTCAGTTTCACTAGCACACTAAATTACCTCTGATATTCAGATATTTGCTGAAGCCGTTAGTGATCAAAGGTGAAGTGTGTAATTTACGTGCCAAAAATATTCCAATTCCTTTGGTCAAGTCAAGTATATTTGTATAGCAGTTTTCACAATACACATTGTTTCAAAGCAGATTTACTGAAAATCATGATGCTAATGTTTATAATATGTTAATATCTTCACATTTCGCAGATTAGAGCTGGGCAATAATATAGTTTACATTTTGTGATGATATGAGCGAGTATTGAGATTTGCTATAGTGTGTATACTGTATATATGTATATATATATATATATATATATATATATATATATATATTGTATGCAGCTCAAGTTGGTCTTACATACTTGCATATACAACTTATTTATGAGTGTATGTGATATATGAGTGTACTGTTATGTATATGTTATGTATAACGTGTTATGTTATGTGTATATATTAGGGGTGGAACGGTACATGTATTCGTATTGAACCGAAACGGTACGGGCGTCACGGTTCGGTGCACGAATTTACACGGAGAATACACGGTATAAAAATAAATAAAACTCGCGTGCAAATTAATTAATGTAATGCGGAACTACTGTTAGATACGCGGGTTCTTTAGGGACACATAATCTGTACCATCGGGTTAGCTCTGAACGCGCGTTCACTTCAAACGTTGGCTTTATATGCGCGTCCTATTGACTAGCGTCGAACTAGACGCGATAGACGCGAATTTGACGCTCTATTTGCGTTTGGTGTGACCGCACAATGAACAGGCTGCGATGTCAAGATTGAAATGCTGGAGTGTGTGTGTGTGTGTGCGCGAGAGAGAGAGGCGCGGGCGCGATCGAACAGTGGAAACATAAAAAAAATACTCGGTCATTTTGTTCATACAAATCATTAAACCTAAAAAGTGTTTACTTATATGTGTGTACACTCCCAATAAAACACAACATTGTGCTTTTGTCACACTGTAAACTCTTGTCAAACTGTAACCTACAACTGTCACCCAACCAAAATCACACACAGACTGTTTTAAAAGCAAAACATATTTATCCAACTCCATTTCAAAACAGTCTGTGTGTTCCATCTTTTTCATCATATTGCATTGGTTTTCATTTCTTGTCCTCGGAGCACTAATCTTACACATTTTACATTGATTAAAAAAGAAAATCGAATGTGTTTTTAATGGTAGTATTATTTTAAACAGAAATCAATTATTTATAATTCAGATGAGAATAATGTTACATTGTTAATTAATAATGTTAATTAAAATTAAGGAAAACAAATATATTGATCTGAAATCTAGCAAATTAATTTTAAATTAATTCAGGTACAATTACCAAACATATCGCAAGGTCTTTTTGTCTTTTTATTCATTTAATTAATAAACTAATTATATAAAACTATTGTCAGTGCACTACAAATAAACGGGTTCTTTGCCTTTATTAATAAAACTTATTTAAAAAATACAATGCCTTCTGCATTTTTGTTTTGCTTTTCCCTCCATTGTACCGAAATCGTACCCAACCGTGATGTCTGAACCGAGGTATGAACCGAACCGTGACTTCTGTGTACCATTCCACCCCTAATATATATATATATGTGTGTGTCTCTAATAGATGTAAAAAAAAAAGAAAAGAAATCAGCATAATTTCATGTGTAAAGCCACAGTTCACTTCCGGGTCAAAACGGACCTAGATGCAATAGGAGGGTTAAAGGTCCACTGAAGTGCTTTGAAACCAATAATCCAGCAAAGCGTTCCTTCTATGGGGTATTTATGGAATAAATATTGCAAAACAGACTGTGGTTGGTGGCTTGTTAGTCTCTTACCATCTAGGTTTCCTTTCCCAGAATAATTGGAATAATTGCAAATTGGACCAAAAATTTGGCCATGTCACAACATAATATTCACCCAATGTACAATAGCACAAAATCTGTATTGCTGTTTGATGTGAGTGTGTGTTTTCTGGTGTGGTTCAGGGGGCCGTTCCTGATGGCGATGGGTAAATCCTGGCACCCGGAGGAGTTCACATGCGCTCACTGCAGCGTGTCTCTGAGCGAGCTGGGGTTTGTGGAGGAACAGGGCTCTGTCTACTGCCAACACTGCTACGAAGAGTTCTTCGCTCCGACATGCTCACGCTGCCAGCACAAAATCCTGGGGGTCCGTGACTGTGTGTTTCATAAACATGAAATATACTCAATCTCTAACTGCCTGTCAAACGCTTGAGCTTTTGGCTCGGCTATGCAAATATATTCACACACAGAGAGACATTAATGTGTCTTTTAGGACTGTTTGAACATTCTTTTCTTCATTTTATGTGCGTGTACACTACCGTTCAAAAGTTTAGGGTCAGTAAGATGTTTGATTGATTTTACATTTGTCAGAAGTGACAAAAGATTTGCTTTTCAAATAAATGCTGTTCTTTCAGACTTTCTATTCATCAAAGAATCAGTTTTCACAAAAATATTAAGCAGCACAACTGTTTTCAACATTAGAAGGATTTCTGAAAGATCATGTGACGCTGAAGACGTGGAGTAATGATGCTGAAAGTAATTGAATAAATTGCGTTTTAAAATGTAAACCGTTATTTTAAACGGTAGTATTTCACAATATTTCTATTTTTTTTATATTTTTAAATCAAATAAATGCAGCTTTGGTGAGCATAAGAGACTTTTTTCAATAACATAAAGTAATCGTACCGACCCCAAACTTTTGAATGGTAGTAAATGTGTATTGTGTAACCATGATGATGATGTGTTTTAACAGGAAGTGATCAATGCACTCAAGCAGACCTGGCACGTGTATTGCTTCCTCTGTGCATCCTGCCAGCAACCGATAAGAAACGATACTTTTCACCTCGAGGATGGAGAGCCGTACTGCGAGAGAGGTGTTTGTTTGTCTATTGCTTTCTATAGACTTCTATTACTTTTTAATACTGAGCTAATGGTGTTTTAGACCAACTAACTCCCATACAAACCTTTCTGCATTAAATTCAGTTCAAGTCAAGTTTATTTGTATAGCGCTTTTTACAGTACATATGTTTCAAAGCTGCAACATTTGTTTCAAATTTGCTTGTTTCAATCTTAAGTAAGAGATGAGTGTATCCACCAGAGATGAGTGTATCCACCAGTAATGTCTATATGGCAGTCATATAGAGCTTTAATTTAGTACATGTCATGTGGTTAATGTTATGTTTACATGACATATAGATGTACATTAAGACAATATTTTGTGTGTTTTTTTTCCTCATGGGGAATGTTGGCCGTTCCTGTCAATGTAGAAAATTTCAGCTACAAAATAAGAAGATCCTACACAATTATGTGTTTTTAATATCGCAATTAGTTCTCTTAGACAGTTATGAAGTCTCCAGCGTCTCAGATGTTTCTCCTAAAAAAGACTCCAGTAATGACTTGTGCTTTCAAAAGAATAATAACAAGATCTGGAATTGTCCTCACATTTGCAAGTATCTCATTTTGGAGCCAATGGGTTTTTTGAATGGGTTTTTGGTTAAATGCAGAGACAATATAAGTGTCTCTGAGCACTTTAGATAAAGTCGTTGATACTGTAATTGTGTCTTCAGATTACTACGGTCTGTTTGGGACGGGTTGCCGTGGCTGTGATTTCCCAATAGAAGCAGGAGACAAGTTTCTAGAGGCCCTGGGCGGCACCTGGCACGACACCTGCTTCGTGTGCTCAGTACGTGTGTGTTCAGGTTTGTCTGAGAGTGTTAGGGTATTCATTGAGTGTTGTGTGATGAGTGTCTGTTGTTCTCTTCAGGTTTGCAGCGTCAGTCTGGAGGGCCAGACCTTCTTCTCCAAAAAGAACAAACCGCTTTGCAAGAAACACGCTCAGACTCTCAAAATATAAAAACACTCCATAACTGTTGAAGTATGTGCAAAAAATGTAAAGAACACATATTTACAACAATATAAATATCACATACTCAAAGTAAAAGCAGTTCTGATGAGGTTTGAAATGAAGAATGATCTGTTTGAAGGTGATTGTGTGAGAGCTGGAGTTTGAAACTCTTATTTTATCAGATCAAAGTATCGGAAAGTTTTTTCTTTATCTTTTCTTTTGCTTTTCTCTCTTTTAACCTTCTCACTTCACACAAATGTGTGCATTATTTATAAAATACACTGTATATAAAAAAAGGTTGTTTAAACTTAAAAAAAGTAAGTGTTTATGCTGCTTTAAATTTGTAAGTTTAGTCAACTTGAAATGTGAAGTTGTACTAAATGACAACTTGGATATTTGAGTTGACTAAACTTCAGATTTTAAAGGAAGCACGAACACTTCCTTTTTTAGTTGAAACAATATTTTTTTTACAGTGGACCAAAACAATTGGAATGAGAACATACTTGAGAGTAAATGCACATTCATTTATCTAATGTTGTGTTGCTGTGATGATGTATTTTTGTAGGTCAACGCAGAAGTTCGCATCACTTTGGTTCTCTCCTTCGTCAAAAAGCCAGTATTGTTCTATTGGCTTTAGGGTTATTGCAGAAAATAAGCTCTGTGACCAAAATGAACACCAATTTTATGAATTTTGAAGCCTAAATCCAATCACCAGAAGCAAAAGCTAAACAAACTAAACCAAGGGCGAATAACTTAAACACCACCACCATAAGTTTCCAACAACTCTCTCAATCTTTATTTAAAATCTACAAGTTGGAAGGTTCGAGTGAGAATAGTTTGCAAGAGCATGATTATAAACAGTGAGGCATTGAAAGCGACTAGTGTGTAGATGAGTTTACGGTCACCGTGATTTTGCCAAGTAAAACATGTTCTTGGAACAACATTCCTGTCTGAAAATGTAGAGCTAACCCCATCCCTATCCCTAACCCTACCCATAACTTTTCCCTACAATCAGATAGTGAATAACACTGATGTAGAAGCACCTAACCCTGGTTGTAAGCCTAAACTTGACATTGGTTGATTGGAATGCTGTTCCAGGATCAATAAAGATGTTGTGTTGGTGAAATCACATTCACCATGAGTTTATCTGTTCGGCGGGTGATTGTTTAAAAGCCTAAATTCAATCAAAGCGATCGAGTCGCTGAAACCGCTCAATTCATATGGATTAGTTTTACGATCTCTTTATGAACTTTTTGAAGCATGAAAGTGGTAGTTGCGTAGCTGTCAATGGAGGGACAGAAATCTCTCAGATTTCATCAAAAAGATCTTCATTTGTGTTTTGAAGATGAACGAAAGTCTTACGGGTTTCAAATGACATGAGTGTGAGTAAATGATGACAGAATTTTCATTTTTTGGTGAACTATCCCTAACTGTAGTCCCATAGCACTTGTAAGCAACCGCCTTTTTCAAGACACATGAAAGCTTTAAAAAATCGTGAGTGGGGTATTACTGATGAATTTTGTGTCATAGAATAAAACGTGAAAATATCTTGAGCTTGTGTTCACCACAGAGCTTATTTCAAACATTTAACCAAAAACCCATTTGCTTCAAGACGATGGAACCGCAAGTACAAATTGCCAACTTGTGTTGGGTTTTAGGACTCATTCCTGCAGCTCTCTATCGCCAACATATCATGAAAAGGCTTATGCTGCCTTACACTTATATAGCGAACTTCACAAAATATGTATGTTTAGTAACATAATGAAATGAAAACTCATGAAATGTGTTCTGTCAGTCATCTGCTGTTCTGTTCTTAAAGCAGCACTAAGTAGGACTTCCGTTTTTGTCAAACAGCGACCCCTAGAGTCGCTGTGGAGTACTTGTACTGTCGTGAATAGCACTCACGCAGAGATGGCTCGCCGGATCCCCTCCCCCTGTACACCGGTACCTGTTCAGTAGGATGGACGCTGTAACGAGTGGAAATAAGGTGTGGCCCCTTTAAGAGCTGCGCGCGCCCAACACCACATGTATACGGCGCCGGGTTATTTCTGTTTGATGCTCATTTTATCAGATCTGTTTTTTGCCGTAAAGCAATTCGTTACCTCACGAGACCTGATATCACACGATACTTCCTAACACTGAGGCCGGCGGCTCGCTGGCCCAAAGTTGCAAGGCTGGTTTTGCGGCTCACAGGCACCAGGGGGGTGCGAGACGACCACCATTCAACACGAAATCAGTAATATAAACATTACAATGACTCCAAAGCTGTTCGGTTAAGGTAAAAAAGTTACTTAGTTCACCTTTAAAGGAACAATGCTGTCAGAAAGGTAAATTCAGTCATGATTTACTCAACATCAACATCATGTTCACTTGCTTGCTTCTGTGGAACACATAAAGGGTTTATAGCAGAATATGGACTCGTTTTACGGTGCTTTTTTGTGTCATTTTCAGAGCTTGGCAGCCTCTTCTAAACTGCGCCTTTTGTGTTTCACAGAAGAAGGAACATCATATGCATTTGGAAAAGTGAATTAAAGGGGAACGTATTTATTTCAAGCTCTGGGATAGTGGGCAACTTTGCTTTTACTGTATCATGTGCTTGTTTTTATGTTTATTGTTTTGTTTTTTGATTTTGATATTAGATTTGCACTTTTAATGATTTCTGTTTCCGTAACACTGTTAAAACTCCGATGTGCTTTTATATAAGTTTAATAAAAATTTAATGTCAACACTTTGCCATCTTCTCAATTTATTATTTTAACTCTTATTTGTAACTATCCTAATTATCACTCAAGCAGAAAATGTGTAACAAAACTTATATGGAGAACTGTACATTAATTGCATTTTTTTTTGTTTAACTTTTTACTTATACTATACTTTTACTATACGTTTAGTTATTTATTTTTGATTTTTTAGTAACTTTTTATTATTGAATTTTCAAGAAAATGTTTTACGTATAGTAAAAATGGAAAATAAACAGAACAAAGGCATATAAATTCTGTTTTTGAGGTATACAGATTCACAAATATTGATTATTGATTTGCTACTCAGTCCATTTCTCCCATATGTTGGAAATTGATCCTTTTTGAATGTCAAAAGGAGAGTCAATTCTTCCATGTTTATTTTAATGAAACCTTTTAAGACAGCATCACTGTTATTGCTCATGCTTGGGGTTAGTCATAACACTAAATATACAACCTCAGAGTTTGAACTCAAACTGCAGTGTTTTTGTTCCAGATTTTCAAGGATTTCTCGAATCATGTGTCTTATTGAAGAGAGGTGTGCTGTTACTTCACTGTGATCAACCTGAAAAACGGGCAACAAATCCCACAGATTTACATTGAAGACTTATCTGCCATATCTGACAACTGATCACAATATTGTGACTTGAATGTGGATTCTTTTGGGCAAGAAACCACCACAACTGCATAGCAACACCCTGGCAACAGCATTTTCCTCAGGATAGAGTGTTGAAGTACCGTACATTGCTGTTATGTGTGTCTCTGTCTGTATTTCTCTCTCAGGTGAGTGGTTTGGCTGTAATGTCCGTAACTCACACCAGAACAGGAGCTCAGGGGTCGTGACCTCTGCTACACACATGAATGAGACATTCACTAAGGCCACAAAGAACAACTTCTCTGGTTTTCTGTCTTTTCTTCTCATCCTTTCTCTTCACACTGGTCTGAATGAGGTGGCTGAATTCATCTGAAGATATGAACAAATACAAAAATATTGATGACGAGTGAGATATGCTTATTTGACAAGCAAAATTCTTGAAGTTATTTAAGATAAGTATGCTATAAATTGTGTATATATATATATATATATATATATATATATATATATATATATATACATATATATATATATATAAAGTTTAAGTTATTTTCAAGTGATAATAAAGCAGTCTTCCAAAACATATTTAATTTATTATTGGCAATTTAATCAAAAACAAACAAACAAAAAATCACAATGGAAAAGGTAATAAATTACAATAATAATGTATGCATGAAATGTATGTACATTTTTTTTTTTTTTTAAATCATCTGACCCACCCACCAAACTAAGTAGCCTAGGTGAGTTTGTCTGTCAGCGCGTGTCCGTGGTGTGGTGAGCGCGCGCGTCTCGAGCTGCTGATGTTGACGAACGCTGAAGACATTTGTGTTGAACTGACACATCATTCACTTCTTCACACGGACAGTGTGCTTTACTACAACTCACGGGGACTTTCTCTCTTCAGAGCGGGTAAGAATCCAGTGAATCAACATCTTTTTGAACCGGGGGAAGTGATCGGATCGGTCTCGTAGTGTATCTGACAGAAACTGCGAATGATTTTCATGAAATCTAACGTTAATGTTAAATCGGTGCGTCCTGATGACGATTCGTAAGATGCGCTTTTGGGTAACGTTAGCACTTTACATTAATACAAACATTTACCATGGTAAATTTCCGCCGAAATACTAACTTACTAGCCTACTACAAGGTAACACGTACTGTGTAGCCTACATCCAGAGAACACACTTATTAAGAGGAGATCTCTTATTAACTTAGGCTATATGATCTACATTATCTGCAGTTATGGTATTTTAGGATAATCTATGGTTACCATGATAAATAATTGTTATATATAGAGTAAATGTTTATATGAAACCAACACTTTTCACTATTACTGTCTTTTTGAACAACATGATCCATGTAATCCATGTAAAACCAATTTACTACTATGTGGTTATTATCGGTATTCTTTGTATTATCTTGCAGAGTACCACTATCATGGCGGATAAATATAGTAAATATTTAGTGCCATGGTGTAAATCATAATACCATGGTATCAACATCTGATACATTGTACTATGGTATCACCACAGTATTCTTTCGTTAGGGAAGACTGAAAAGATTGTTGCCTTTCTCAAATGCACTTGATTTCATGATAGTTTGCATTTTACACTTTAACATTACAAAATGCTGCAATTTCTGTGTCAGTACATAAAAATAATGGCTGTTTTCAAACACGTTTCCCATAAATGTCTTCCATTGGTCAGACAAACAGTGGGACGTTCTTCGAACTTATTATTAAGTTAAAATAGTGAATTATTTTATAATTTAAAACTTTTCGCAAAAAAAGTTAGTAATTTTTATTTCAATCATTTGAAGCTTCATTTTTACAGTCATGTTACGGTTTATGGTGTTGCACAGTCATGGCGACAAAGTTGTAAAATTAGATATTAGTGTAAGTTCATTTGCCATTTTTTTCAAACATGCATATCGTTTGTGTCATGTGGCTATACTATTGAAACAGTGTCCATTTTAAAGGAAGTTGCGATTGTTTTTTCTTCCCTATGATGTATATCCGAGTGAAACGGCTTCTCAAACAAGAAAAAATGTAGGGCGGGACTTAATTTTGTCCATTGGAAATAGATTGAATCGTGGGTCGTTGTGGTTTGCTATTGCTGGTGCCATCTCATCTCAGGTTTTTACTGTTGGGTAGAGGTTATTGTCCCGCCCTCGCGCCAGTGAAGTCAAGTCACCTTTATTTATATAGTGCTTTTTACAGTATAGATTGTTTCAAAGCAGCTTTACAGTGATAACAGGAAACACGTCAGAAGAGATGCATAGAGAAGTTATATTGATTCAAGATTATAAGGGCACATGAATCTTAAAAAAATAATGATGTGCATGGATAAATCATTTACAATAAACATTGCAATAGTAGTCCGTTAAAAGCAAGAATTGTCCATTTTGATTTCATGGTGACTGATAGGATCTTCCCCATTCACTTCCATTGTGCCTCACTCTAACCAATATTTTTGCTTAATTTTCTAAAGAAAAGGAGGAACAGGTGGAGATATTATTTTTCTTTGGTGGTAATCAACATTAAGCAGACACAAATGCTGTCGATTCGCTCAACTTGTACTGAAACCAGAATATTCCTTTAACAAACTGGATCGGTTTGCAGTGGTGATTTTGTCATGATATATGGTGTCCGGGACACGTCTGGTGGGAATATGATACAGCGACAGAAACTTTTAACTGCTCTGATAAGGAGTTAACTCACACTATCTTGATAGCCTCTACTCTTTCAGCACTTAAAGAGTAATCCCAACAGGAGCTACTTTCTCTAGGGATAATAGGGGAATTGGACTGTTTGTGTCCATTAGACATCTTGATTTTTGACTTTTATGAACTATCTTTTTCTTGAACACAAGAAACAATTGTTGACTCAAGCACAGTTCACACACTATGTCAGCAGTTTAAAGGGATAGTTCACTTTGAAATAAATTTTTGGTATGTTTTAGCTTACCTCAAGGGCATCCAAGATGTTTTTAGGTCAAACCGTTCTTGTCTGTCAGTCATATAATGCAGGTCTATGGTCACCACCTCAAAGAGCATGCACAGAGAAGTCCAAATTAAACATGATTTAATGACTCGTAAATGTAAGTACACATTGATGGCCTAAGACACGAAACGAGCGGTTTGTGTGAGAAAACGAACAGTATTTATATCGTTTTTACCTCTTGTAAACACAGCCACGTCCAAGTGATCTGAGGGCGCCGGCGCTTCGGTCTTTTCCGGAAAGCGCCGGAAGTGATCTCTCGCGCGTGGTTTGAGGTGATGCTGCCCTCAAATTTGAGTCTGGAGCCCTGTGAACTTAAAATAAAACTGCATATCGTAAAATCTGTACGTTAAGTCTCTTTATTATTAAAGAATTTGTCAGTATTACAGTTATTTTGGGGGAAAATTGAATAATTGCATTGCAAGCTGATTTAAGGTGTGCCCCTAAATTTTCTGCTTGTGCTCCTAAAATTTTCAGTCAGGGGCAACAGCGCTCCTAGTAAAAAAAGTTAGTCTGGAGCCCTGCAAAGGATTTTGAGATATGATAACCAAAGGCCCCTGGGCTACAGCATTACGGTAGGCCCCCCACCCCACCCATATAGACATTTGTTTTTAGCTCCCTGCCAATTATTTATGTAGAAATTTATCTTGTCGATAACATTTACAACACTGTTTGTATGCTGCGTAAAAATATGGGTAAAATATTGGTGAATATTCAAAATCAGTCTTTGCCAGTAGGTGGCGCTTGTGGAACAGCAGAATTAGCGGTTACAAAGCAGCGATACGCTTATAAAACTACATCAGTGTTTCTCAACCTTTTTTTTTTTTGCCACGGCACAGTTTTGGTAGCCTGGACCCACCAGACTCGTACATTTCATTCGTTTCATTTCGTATGACGATTGACGACTCAAACTAGCGCACGATCGTTCTTAGCCACTCCCTCTGTTCGCTGATTGGCCCGGTAAAAAATTGACCGGAGAAAACCAAAGAATACAGCACAATCCCAGACGTAGCACTGAAAGAAAATGAAAATTGAGTGGAAGTACGTAGGAGGGCGGAGCCAAGCTACAGTTTTGGTAAGTCATGTTACAAAAGATGAAGCGCTACGCAGATGATATTTAAAACTTGCTTCAACTAGACGGCAAATAGCAGACTAATATTCTCTGCTCTTCAAATACAAAAAAACGACAGTTTGAGGAGCCAATGGATTAACGAGGTTTAGTCACAACCTCTTTTAAATGCTTTTTATAGGTTAAATATTTGTAAAACCCACATAGAGACGTAAAGGATGACTAATAGCATTAATTTTATAAAACAAAAATTACGAAATATAGAGACACAAGGTTTTGGCCCCACATCGATGATGTATCATCCTCACATCACAAGCAGACTATATACTTTTTGCGATTTGGTAAGGGCACAAAGTCATAGCGCACTTTCGATTATGACAGATACTTAAAGTCGCAAAACAATGTTAGAGACTTTTTATGTTATCGTGAGAAGTTTTAAAATATTTCCGGTTCATTATGAAACTGTGGCGGCACAGATTAGACTATGGCGGGCTGCCACTGTCTATGTAATTAATGGGAAACACTGGAGGTGTATTTGTTCGATGTGAGCATGATTTATTAATTACATATTAGACTATTAATCGTTCTTTTCAGGCGTGTTTTCAGAGGGGAATTTACTTAGGACGTGTTCTTGTTTATTAAAGCGTTGTTTTAGTATTGTCTATATATTTGTATAGTATTTATTAATAATCTTTATTTGCATTTTGTATATTTTTAGTTTGTTTTATTATGTTATGTGCTTTTGTTTTGTCTCTTTTTTTCAGTATTAGTCATTTTAGTACTTTATCTTACACTTATTTATTTCAGTTAATTGCAACATTTTTATTTTTTTATTTTAAGTTGTTCATCTAATATTTATATTTTATTTTAAGCTTTATTTTAATTACGAAAATGTATTTTAGAACAGTATCATCGCCGTTGTGTGTGATATCAAAACAAGTTCACTGATATGACTGTAGGCCCAATGTCACGGATGAACAGAGAGACCTGAAACTATGTGAGCTTACACACACACACACACACACACACACACACACACACACACACACACACACACACACACACACACACACACACACACACACACACACACACACACACACACACACACACACACACACACACACACACACACACACACACACACACACACACACACACACACACACACACAGAGGCACTAATCAGGTCCAGCTGTGTGTCAGTGTGTTATGTGGAGTTCACGTTGGAGAGTGTGTGACCATATGGCATAAAGCGTCCAATTCTTACCTCACCCCCCACCTTTCGTCATGGGACTAGGCAGGAAAGACTCAACGACCAGCCAGAGTCGAACAGCAGATGTGAGTGTGTGTATGAGAGAGAAAGATGGAATGTGTGAGTAGCAGTACACCCCATCTACAGTGCAAGCGCACACATTTGACAAAAACTAGAAAAGTCAAACTGGATTCAAAAGTGACCCTGATTATTTTCTTAATGCATGTTACTGGTCATATTGTGAATGATTCAGTGGTGCAGATATTTATATATTTTTAATGTTTTTTGACATTGTGATTTTTAATCACTTGGTTATCCTGTGATACGACTCTAGACATCTATGATGTATTCAAGGGCACGATGCAGTTGCATTCAGATCTGCCTCCATTCCTATACTGTACATCTCTCACTTTTCACAATCCAGTCAATTTATACTATTATACTATTTATTAAATATTTTAATTAGCTTTTATTTTTATATTTTCAGTTTTCATATTAATTTTAGTTTGTGCTTTTGTTATTTTTATTAGTTAAAAAAACTATATAGCTTTAATAAATTCAATTTTGATTCTTCAACTTAAGCCTATT